ACAGCCTGATCAGCTCTGATAGAATGTAGAATATTCATCACTAGAAGGGAATAAAGATAATGACAACAAGCAAGATCTGCTGGTGAATGCTAAAATTAATACAGATGTACAGTGACAAAGTACATTGAGTCTGTTAGTTACTGTGATACTTTAATCAATGTCAGTGGGAAGATCATCCTAATTTTAAACAGTAATGAGATATACTGAAACAAAGTATCCTTTATATCATGTGATTTATTAGCCTATCAGTGCTATTATGTTATTTCCCAAAATGTATAGCTTAAGGCCCACCATAAGAAAACATGAAAATTAAAATGATGGAATTTTAATAATGAAATATCTGGCAAATACATACTAAAAGTCAGGAAAGATATGTTATACACTGGAGGCGAGTACAGAGATATGACAACAGCATGTAATATGGGATCCTAGATTCTCATATAGATAGGACATCAGTGAAAAACTTGAGGGAATCTGAAGAAGTGAAAAGTTTAGTCAATAGACTGCACCAATGTCAGTTTGTTAGTGAGGCTAGATTTTCACCATTAGCTTCCATAATTAAGTAGGGTTAAAGGACCAGAGAGGGAGAGCCCATAATGGCCTTCTATGTGCTGGAGAGCCAGACAATCTATAGCTTCTCAGTCTAAGAAGTTGAAAGCTGCAAACAACAGGATTCAAGATGCAATACAACTCTGGAACTGAAGGCCTGGAAGCTCCCTGGAGAGTTACTGATGTGAGTCTGTGTTAGTTACTTTTCTTTCATCAGTGATAAAAAATACCTGATGTCCAAACTGAAGGAAAGAGTTTATTTAGCTCATAGTTTGTGGAGGTTTTAGTTTGTAATCAACTGGTTTCAAGGCAGAGTAGCATGCAGCAGAGGGCAATATGTTCACAGTGGCAGAAGGCAGCAAAAGCAGCAAGAGCAAAAGGGGAGGATGGCAGAGAGAAGATTCTTCCTATTCCTTCTATTGCATGTAGGCTACCTACCCTAGGACGGGTATAGCACTCACAGCCATAATCCCAGCATTAGACCATGAATCAATCACAAATTCCAGAAGCCTGTGCCCATGACTGTCTGAGGCTTTGAGGGAACATCTAGACACAAACCATAAAGAGGGTCCATGTTGAAAGGCTGAAGGAAAATAGAGTCTGATATCCACAGCCAATGGCAGTAGCAAAAGAGGCACCTGGCACGAGGTGAAGGGGGCTTTCAAATGTGGGCCAACTTCCTTCTTCTTTCCCTTTAATTTCAACCAAGCTACAAGTTTACTGGATGGCACCACCCATAAGCAGGATGAGCCTTCTTCAATTTGCTGGCCAAAATGCCAGTTATCTTTGGAAATACCCTCCATACACAGGAGATTGCTTTACTAATTGGTTAATTTGGTATTTCTTAATGCAGTCAAACTGACTTAAATGATTAACAGTCACATCTTCAAACAAAACAACTAATCAGTAAAGATGCAGCACAGAAACAGATAGGAGAACTCAGTAATCTATTAAGTCAGGCATCAAAGAAACATAAATAAAATGCCTATCTTCTCATAAAACATGTTTTGGAAAATAGTGAAAAAATAGTTTAGGAAATTTGAGTGAAATTTGAAGTTAGTTAATATTTGTAGTAATACTAATTTCTTACTGTCGGTAGTTGTATCACAGTTTTGTAAGTTGGTAATATTAGAAGCTTGGAATAGGGGAAGAGAGGAAACTTGTGAGTTGGTAATATTAGAAGCTTGGAACAGGAGAATAGAAGAAACTTGTGAGTGTTTAAGTCTAAAATTGTTTCAAAATAAATTTAAAAATGAACAGGCTTCTAGGGTTCCTAAAATGACTTACTGAAAATATTAAATCTATTTTATTTGATTAAATCATTTGTGAAATTATTTTTTTCCAAAAGGAAGTAAAATTCTATCTTCCTTGTAACAATATCTAAGTTAGTCATATCTCTTTCTCTATAGTCCTTAAGATTCTGACAAAGATTCTCTTTGACCAAACTTTAGTCAGGCATCCTAGAGTCCTATTAGGCCATAGGCCTTGTTTCAGACCCAACCTTTGATCTGCTGCCGAGTTGTATTTTTAGTAGGTGTCCAGAAAGTTGGTTTTATGAGCATCTACTCTCCACAGATACTCATTTACCCTGGCGAGCTCATCAAATTTCTTATCTCCACACTTTGTGTCTAATAATTCTGGCCTAGCTTTATAAGAATTCTGATAATTTTGCTTGATAATGATCCCCTCAAGTCTTCTTAGTGGTTTTCCAGCCACTGAGCCTTTCACTATGCTTATTGACCAAAAACCTCAGATTGTCTTCACTGTATTTGGAGCTGAGGCCTTAATATCCCCTATATTGTGAGAGTTCTGACACCTATCTTATCCTAAATGAGGTCTTTCTTTCTTACTGTTTTAACGAGTGTCACCATAATTTTTTTGTTACCGGTTTTTCAATGTAAGTCTTTACAGTTAATCCAGTTTTTCATTGTAAATCAATATAGTTAATACAGCCCTACAAAATAAAGGGTATGGGGCTGGGGATTTAGCTCAGTGGCGTAAGCACCTGCTTGGCAAGCATATGGTCGTGAGTTCAATCCCCGGTAACAAAAAAAAAAAAAAAAAAAAAAGGGCACAAACTGACAGTCCACATTACTAAGACCAAGTCACCTCAGGACATACCTTTACCCCTAGTAAGCTCTTTCCAATGTGAGCACCTTGACCTCTGAGATTTACTTCCTGACCACAACTGAGCCCGAGGCTTTGCTGAGTAGGTAAAGCCTGAAGGATATTTGCATAAATTAATAGGAGCATGTAGGATTGCAAAAAAGTTTTGTATGAATATAAAACAGGGGTCCAAAATGTGTTCTAAAAAACATTCAAGACTGTGATAGTATATTCTCAAGAGGACAATTTGGATGTAACAGGTATACTGAAAATAAAATAAATCATAATATAACGTGTTAGCATGAATAAATGAGACTTTTCAGTGACGGAATGGAATACAAGTTAAACAGAAAGACTACCCTTCCATTGGAAGGATTGTGTTGAAAAACATCGATTCCTTTAGAAGTCAGTTCTGGTTCTTATGGCCTGAAATATTCACTATGAAGCGTACACACAGCAAAGCTGAAAACACCCCCTTAAGCAGGCCCATTAGTTTGAGTAACTCTATCCCTCCAGCATTCCTGGCTTTCCTGTGCCCCATCCCTCAGTCTCCACCTTGGCTTAACTGAATGTAGCAGAGTTACAGTTTGCTCGCATTTTTTTCTCACAGTGAGTATTTTCTCACAGTGAGAATGTTTTTTAGAACACATTTTGGACCCCTGTTTTATATTCATACAAAAGAGTATTTTTACTCTTTATTACATTTAGACAAGCATTTGTTTTCTTTTTGTCTCTACTCACTGATAGGTAAAAAGGTGATACTTTTGCTATCATTGAAAATGGAAATGAAAAAGAAAAACTTCTAGCATCTTTCATACCATACAGAACAAGTAAGTAATCCTTTACTTTATTACAATTACATCCCACTTTTGACATTTAAAGAAAAGATCACTGCTTTTTATTTGTTAACAAGCAGTTAAATTAGGAACTTTTGAATTTTCTTAAAGAAGTTTGAACTTAATAAAAAATGTAAAATATAATCAATGATATTTTGTCATTAATGTTTTCTCTTTGTGTATGGTATTGGTCTCAGGATTGTGAAAATTCATTCTTGGAAGTATGACTAACACCTAGGTAATTATAAAGATTGTGGCCCAAAGCAAACTTTATCTGATAAACCCTTCTTCCCTACTATGCATTCTTTCACTGGGGTTTCCACTCAGTGTAAGGAAGCCCTGACACTTACTAGGGATAGAGGTATGTCCTGAGGTGACTTGGTCTTCTTAGTCATGTGAACTGTCAGTTTGTGCCCTTTATTTTTTAAGCCTGAATTAACTGTATTGACTTACAATGAAAAACTGGATTTACTGTGCAGACTTAACATTGAAAAACTGGTAACAAAAAAAAATTACTCATGCAGCCAGGTCCAGTGAATGCAGGATCAGTACTACAGACCTATGGCGAAGAGATGGCTGTGACTGGAGGATTTTTGAAGTTTTGCCAGATCCCAAAGTAAAGTTATATAAACTGGCCTCTATGTGTACATGAGCTAACACTTTCTTCCCTGTAGATGTTGTTTATGTTTGATCCTCAGTGATTCTTAATGGACAATATTGTAAGTTTTGAGAATTAGACAGAAAAATTCACATTTTACTATTTAATTCTATTAAACTTGTTCAACATATCAATAATAGTGTTGTGTTGAAGAGAAGAAAACTTATACTTTCTGGGTCTACCAGCTAGTGAAGTTAAAAGATTTTCTCATATGAAGCAAAATTAATAATAAAATACACTAAAATATATGTTATAAGAATAATTTAAATTTTCCATACTTTTTTGGAGCAGAAAAAATTTAAGTTTTTTTTATTGCACTTCCATAATTACATATTTTAACTTGCATATTACAGATTTTTAACTTGCATATTAATTGGATACAGCATTTATTAGTAAACTAATAATATCAAAGTCACTCAGTAAATTTACTTATGAAATTCAGTTAAATATCATTAGCTTTTATGTTTAACTTTTAATAAATATTTTTAATTGGTCAGTTTGAGTTCAATAAAAATTAACACCTCTGCTGTATAGAGATATACATAAGATGCATAATGAGATATACAGTATTTCTGCAGTATTAAAATTTAACGTGACTTTCAATTAGGAAAAAAATATATGAAAATGTGCCACATTCATGAAAGGGAGAAACAATGAAAAACTGATTGAGCAACATAGGTCTAAATACACAAAAAAATGCATTTTAGAAAGGAAAAACAGAACTGGAAAGTAATAGTAGTTACATTCAGAAAATAGAAAGTGCTATGGTTCCTACTTAAGACCTATGAAAACATCAAAGTCTTCAAAGAACATCAGTCTCAAACAGGTCAGCAGCATCTACAAGGCGCCCAATGGCCTTGCCCTTTCTTTTCCTGGTGGCCCTGGTGCTGCTTAGCTGTAGGTCAGCCTGCTCTCTGAGCTGCGACCTGTCTCAGACCCACAGCCAGGGGAACACGAGGGCCCTGATTCTCCTGGGACAAATGAGGAGAATCTCTACTTTCTCCTGCCTGAAGGACAGACAGGGCTTTGACTTGGCCTAGCTGGAGTTCGATGGCAAGCAGGTCCAGAAGGCTCAGGCCCTCTCTGTCCTCCATGAGATGACCAGGCAGACCTTCAACCTCTTCACATCAGAGGACTCATCTGCTGCCTGGGACAAGAGCCTGTTGAGCTACTTCTGCACTGGCCTCCATCAGCACCTGAAGCACTTGCACGCCTGCCTGACCCAGGAGGTGGGGCTGCAAGAGCCTCCCCTGATGCATGAGGACTCCAGACAGGCTGTGAGGAAATACTTCCACAGGATCGCTGTCTACCTGAAGGAGAAGAGCTACAGCCCTTGTGCCTGGGAGGTTGTCAGAGCAGAAATTGTCAGATGCTTCTCTTCATCAGAAACTATGCAAAAAAATATTTAAGGAGTAAGGAATGAGACATGGTCCGACATAGAAGTGGTTCTCATAGACTAATTCACTGCATCAAATTTCCAGAACTTCTGCCATTTCAAAGTCTCTCATTTCTGATATAATCATGGCATGAATTCAATTTGTGAGATGTTTTCTGAAGTACCAGGCAACACTGTGCTTGACTCTGTGAAGAATATTCCCTTACAAGCTCAGTATCAAATGTATCTACTTATTTATCTTTTAAAATATTTACTAATTTATTGGATTATAGTATTTAAATTATTCTTGTACACATGTCATATAGACTTTACATTTTGTTTCAGATCAAATCTGTTCTGTACACTTCATCAGTTTCTCATTTTGCTTTTTTCACTAAATTTTTACTTTTTGTGTTTGTCCTTCAAAAAAATTCTCCAAGCCTTATTGTACAACCTTATAAGAGAGTGGAAGATGAAAATCACTTACCCATCACTGTCATACTGAAATTATAAGTAAATACTGACTGTTGCACTCTTCATTCTAAAACTATGTGCTATTTATATTTGATCAGCAAATAATGGCTTATTTAATGTCTGAAGATGTGAATAAACATCGACAGCAATGTGTAGGAAACAAGTGGTGTTTACTGACAGATTCCCTTCTCTCGGCTCTCCTGGACACAGCGCCTCACACTTTCCTTTCTCTCTAACAGGGAAGTTTTGGAACACTTGTCAGTCTCTCTGCACTTACAGACCATTCACACCCAGCTGCTCTCTGGTCCCTCATGTTTTCTGCTCTGTGGTTTCCCTAAAAAGCAGCACACCATAAACAAAGAAGCTGAATAAAAATGTGTAGATTTTGCAGAAACATCTGCAAGAGAAATTATTGCTACTTTCCACTGTATGTGATGTAATGGTACCTTTAGCTAAAAGCAAACAGAAAGCTGTATCCAATGTGTACAGGGTGAGGAAAACTCTCTCAAGGACAAGGAAGATAAGTCTCTGATGGCCAAGTGTGACAGGAGCAGGAACCAAGACCAGAGGCAGATTTCTGATTTATGCAGAAATCCTACCACTGCCTGAAGGTTTCCTTGATACTTCAAAGAGGCTGCTGTTTCACAACCATAATGCTTACCATAAAGTGTGGCAGCTATTTTCTCATATTTTCCCAAAAATCTAGCTATATATTTCTTTCTGTGGTTTCCTGAAAAAAAAAATATGCAAATTAAAACAAATAAAAAGGAATTCTGGAGGAGATTGAATAGCCACCCTTTACATGGAAGATAAATTGGATTTGGTTATTCAGTCAGGAAATGTCAGCATCTGAAGTTATATGTACCAGGTACATTGTGTCTATTTTATAAAAAATAAAACAAAATTTTGTAACCAAATAATAAAAGAATAACAATAATTAATACACTGTGTATTATTATCTTCAAAGTAATTAACTCAGAGTATAAGACATAAACCATTCCTCCTTACTTTTTCGGGTCACAAGTGTTTTTAGTACAACATCACAGTAATTCACCTTCTGCATCTAGAAACCTCCCCAGTACTCGCCTCATTAATCTGCCTATTCATGGGGTGTTGTCCCTTGTGGTTTCTGCCCATTCATTTTCTAACAAAAGCACAAAGGCACCAATTAAAAGCAAAAATTGGGCGAAATTTCTGTCAGAAACTCAAATATAAGGGATATTTTTCTTTTGATAAATATTTTTGTAAATGAGGGAATTTCTCTGCTACAGTAATGAACGTAACACATTAGCTGTAGCTAAAAAGAAACAGCAGAATAGTTTATCCCTGAGCACTAAGATTTATAAAAACCCAGCACTGCCTGCTGGCCAATGCACTTAAAAAAGTGCCCTGCTATGGACAGCTGTTTCCTTTTTAACATTGTTGAGACTCTTTCCTGCATGCTTTATTTTTGTTAGTTTTACTCCTCTCCTTCCTTCCCCTCTCCTAGTTTCCTTCCCTTCTTTTTCTGTTTCTTCCTGCTGCTCTCCCTGGACCTTCTTTCTTCTGTCAAAGTTATCAAAGTCTCTTTCCCAGAAAGGGCTAGAACAAACATTTTAAAAAGTCTTTTGCATCTTAGGGCTGCAAAACCCTCCCAACTTCAGACAGGTCCTGTTCTCTTTGGGCAGTGGATAGTTGTGAGGGGAGAGAAAAGTCTGCTTGTGATCCTTGTTACTAAACTGCTCTGCCTGCCACTGAGTTCTGTAGGCTCTGGGAAGAGATCAGAGAGCCTGCCCTGAGGAGTGCGGAGCTGAAACCAGGAAACGTGGCTAGCTAGCGTAGTGGTGCATTCATTCTTTAGAAAGAGCGTTCCTTCTTGCAACTATATCCAGTTCCTTAACTATCATGAGTGAGGGATGTGGCACTTGTGTCTGTGCTACTTTGACCCCTGTCCTTAGAAAGAGCACAGAAGTAAATAAAGGAATTTCAGGAAGTGCAAGGATTTTCAGTTGATACTTTTGGACTGTCCTTTGGTAGAGTTGAAAGGTGCTAATGGGACTGCACAGAAGTATAATTACAGAAGTGAAGGACTCGGGCAGGAGGAAAAAGCTGTAATACTTCAGCTGGGGTCTGTCAGCCTCTGCCTGAAGTTGGAGAACCAGTATGTAGGCTCCTTCCCTCCTGTTAGGGGTCACCGGGCTCTAATTTACCTGTGAAATAAATTCTCTCCCTTGTCTTTCTCTGCCTGTCTTCTACTGTGGTATAACTAATGTAGGAACAGGGCCACCCAGTTTTTGATAAATACCACTGTCTTTGTGATTACTCAGCACCTTACAGATATGACTTTTTTCAGCCTTTCTTGCCATTTCCATTTTAATGTGATTTTTCATGGTAATTAAATTATATTTTACATATACGTGATATGTAGAATTTCTATGAGTTCGTTTCATTCTGTCACCTCCCCCTTAAAACCTCTACAGCCATATCTTGTTTCATATCCTTGATTTAGTAATCTTCTATGTATTCAACAGAATTGGGGGACCAAGAGACTGGGCTGCAGCGTCCAGGACTGAGGGTGGAGCAGGAGGAGCGAGCATTCATCTCTCTGCCTGCCCCCTGCTCCCCACAAAAGTCAGACCTCATTCTTCTTAGGCCAAGTTCACCCACAGGCATGTAGTCCACTTAAAATGGGGCCACCAGAGACAGGAGCAGTGCCTGAGTGGGAATGCAGCACAAGCTGTAGACAGCCAAACCTTTTGAGCTTTGGGACCAAAAATGTGAACAGGAACCTTTCCTGTCTGCTAATTCCTGAGTTGCAGTGCTCAAGAGCCACTGATGTTCAGCTGGGCACAGAAACCCAGTCAGCAGAGGGGTCCTGGGCTCATGTCTACACCCACTGAACTACTAAAGAATCTGGAAGTTCATGTGTTCCTTTATTTAGAGATGTTTTCATATTCTGACTCCACTTGGACAAAAGACTGGTCCAGGTACATGACACTCCTTTGTTCAGAGAATCAAAGTACACATAAAACAACAGGAAGAAGTTGAAGGTGCCAGATGGATCCACGGGAACAAGAACCGGTGTTTTGGAACAATATCAGTGAGTCAATTGTTCTGATAGATTATGTGAAATGAATTCTAAACCAGGCATTTTTACACATGTGTGTGTTCCCAGAACTCTGGGAGCCTGGCGCAGGAGAATCACAATTTCAAGCCGTATTTGGGCAACTTTATTATTTCATGACATCCTGTAATAAATTAAAATAAAATTACAATTAAAAGGCTGGGAAGAAGTTTAGTCTAAAGATTTTGGGTTCATTTTTTGTTACTGAGAAAACAAAAACAAACAAAACAAAACAAATCCCAACCAAATTCTAGCATCTGAAAAGTTGGGTTTGTCTCCCATGACAATGCTGAAGAGGCTATACTGAGACCTCTGACAGAGACAAGGCCAACATCAGTAACCCCTGCGTAATGACGGAGACACCATAGCAGCCTGCAGAGTGCTGGAAGCACCCATGGCATCCATGGTTACTCCACAGCTTAAGGGCAAAAGCTGTCATGATACAGGGAAAATTATTCGTGAGGGCACTGCACCCTACCCCAAAATATCTCAACTTCCTGTCGCTATGTAGCTTCCTTTAAAAACAAATCCTATGGAAACAATACTCAAACAGCAAAGTAACAAGCAAAGAAATGAGTTCGTTTAGCAATAACTGGTCTGAGATTTTCTTGGACACAACTATTAGTAATACGATGTGAGAAACTGAGACAATGACATTAGCCCCACTAAAGGAAGTGAAGAATAGAAATAGTTGTGGACTTTCTTCACCAAGAAGCCATGGCGTAAAGTTTGAGGTGACAAAGAACCTGAGTTCCTAAGTCACTGTCTCAGGTTCCCCTAAGGCTTTGACCTTGAATGTTTGGTCTCTCCTTCCATCTTTATTTCTCTCCAAGGGATTGTGTAGATGAGTGTCATACAAATAGTGCTGAGGGGACTGAGCTAACTTTCTTTCTTTCTTTTCTTTTTTTCTTTTTTGTACTTGGGAAGCACTCAAAGCCTTCACAGAGAGCTATAGCCTCACCTCTTTTTAAAGTTTTTCTTTTAAAACAGGACCTCACAAAGCCATCATGTTGCCCAGGCTGGGCTTGAACTTGCAATCTTTCTAACATAGCCTCCCAGAATGCTGGGTTTACAGGTGTTGCCCCCCTGACCAACTTACCTTCCAATGTTTGGATCAGTGGATGACCCATATTTATGATACAATAAGTTTCTCTGTTATCATTTTCCAAAATATAATTATTATTATTTTCAAGATTGAGATAGAATCTTTCAGGATCACCTACCACACTTCCTTTGCATCCTAGGATCGTCAGGGCAATCCCAGTGAATTATTGGCTAGGTGGAGAGCGCAGGGAGGGCTAACGTCCACTATCTGCTCCTTGACTGCAGTCTGACTGCCCTTGTGGGGAGGTATACGGGTGAACTCACCCTCCTTTCTCTCTCAAAGCTCATCATACCTGAATATGATAGAATAGCTGTGTGTATAGGGCGCTGTTCTTGCAAATAAGAGGACAGGTCCCTGACAGGA